CTCTTGAGCCTTGTCATGTCCATACCTCCTTATAGATGTGCCTCCCCCCCCCGTTCTAGTTCCCCCCGTAGTTTCCCCCGTCGAGAATGCTGCTGCTCGTGCAGAAGACGCTTCTTGTCCTTATCATTTTCCATAATCGCCATATAATCGACGTCGCTATCAAGCGCTATCTGTTCTTTATGTCCGTCCATTAGCATTACAATTTAATGCGTGTTTAGAGAAATTTGTTTGTGCGTTTATGCATGTAGGCTTTTATAGAAAGCAAAATTTGCAGAAAAGGCGGGGGGGGGGGGGGGGTGGCGGGGATTGATGGGGCGCTGTTACGGCTGAATAATCAGATTCCATCATCATCATGGTCATGATAGCGCAATGCCAGGCTTTTAGTTGCAATTTGTCTTCTTTTTTCAATATACGTGTATTGACGGGTTCCCCCCCCCCCCCCAAAAAAAATTTCAGCCTTAGATGTGCGTTTTGTAAGCCAAAAGTTTCACTTACATCAACTGAACACCGCTCTCCTGAACGTAGCTAAACTTTCGAGGAAGCTTTCCTCCCCCCCCCCCTGATATAACCACCGTATCCACAGCCGGTCGCTAACGATATTACCGTCATCTACCTCCCTCCCCTCCCCCTCCCCCGCCCTCGTGCTTGTGCGCGGTTGTCTTGTCTTGCTAGTCTATGAATGCGTCACAAAAACGTCAAACGAGGTCGACTATAGTGTTCTAGCAATGTGCTTTTTATCCGTAGCAAGCTACGCAACTACAGACAATGTCCTATAAATAAGGTACAAGAACTACATAGTACGATAGTGGTAGTATAGCTGGTTACAGTATTTGTACTGCTGTTGTTAGTTGTTAGCATCCGTGATTTCCATATGGGACCGTAATGTGTATATAAGTACGCTCCATATATTTGCCTCTCATTTTGCCTCTAATTAGCGTTATATCCTACAAAATTCAAATTTTATTCTCATATTAGACTCCGCTGCAGTGATAAGGCGTATCTTATCTTGCTGTGCATTTGGTACAATTACACAAGCCACGCCATCTAGACATTGCGCCACTCTGATTGGTCAGCCCGTAAATGGGCGTGGCCTCGGATAATGAGCAGGTTGTGCTTTCTTTTTGAAATTCGTATCTATAAAATCATACTCATTTTACCCGGTATGCAGGTCGCACGCCATTAATTATTGATTTTTCTTTATCACTTGAGATAACCTTTTAGGAGATGTGTGTTGTGCAATTACACCATAATGAGGCTACTGGCTTTCAGTTGTTCCATAGCTTTCAAAAATGAAAAGGTATAATTTCAAGCGTATACTTTTCAAATTAAAAATTACAATCTCGAATTTCACTAACGCGCTGCAGAACGGCCCGGCACATAGATGGAATTGTGTAGAATTGCGTGACGCATTAGTATCATCACATCGCGTGTGCTTTTAGATTTATAAGATAGTTGCAGCGAAATAATGAGACTGAGAGCAGATAGCCTCAGTCACAACAACAATTTTTCTCTCCCCTCCCCCCCCCCCCCTTCCCGCCCGGGAGACGGTCAAGAGGCGCGATTTCTCTGGCTGTCACCAACTTAAATCTCCAATTTGGTGCTATGCAAGTCTTCAAAAATTACCAGATAAAGTACATTAGCTTACTATCTGTCTAAAGTCACCACTTGCTGAGTTTCGTGGTTTTTGTTGTAAATCGGAGTGAAATATTTACGAATTTGTTCTGAAATGCGTTTTCATGAGTTTCTGACCTTTAAACTTGCTCTTTTGAATTTTTTCGAGAGTATCAAGGTCAAACAACTCATGCAACTATCTAATATATCTTCTTCTAGAATTCATATACTTCTAGAAAGTTGCATAACACTTATAATGTGCTATTTGGTGTCTAGCTGGCAATAAAAATCGCGCCTCTTGACATACACCCTTCCCGCCCTCCTATGTTTTGTTCGAAAATACTCGCTTTGAAATCCGTATTGATGGATTATTTCGCTGGTCGTTGTTGTTGATGAGGTAACGAACTGGTTCTATGTAGCCGAAATTTGTGAAAGTTCAGCTAGGAGCCGTTCATTTCATTAGAAATTTTGTAGAACGTCTTACTGTGAGATTACTGTAGGACATTCTACGTTTGACTTCTTTCCCTACTTTGCTTTGGAAAATTTCCCGTTTCTGTTGGCCTTTGAGTAAAACATGGCCATTTTCACAATGGTGTCTCCAAGTCTAAGGCGGTGAGCTCGAGTACCTAATACATAGCTCATTATTATGGTTTACTACCCTGCTCACATTCCCATATTCCCCCCCCCCCCTCCCGCCCTCATACGAAACCTGTATGTTGGCTCAGCTTTGTACTATAGAGAATACCTCCACATGCCCAAAATAGTCAATTCCGATTAGTACAGCAATACAGTATATGTTTAACAATCATGTTTTCATGTTTTCACTTTCCATATATGAATCGCGACTCTGTTAGTATTTAGTACATCAGCTTACTGTAAATGTACTGTACTATCTGTGTAAACGAACTTTTATTTATAACCTTTGATTAGAGCAATTGGCATTCCATATTCTCTGCCCATTATGAAATCTTCTCTTGCGTATGTTTGAATTAATTTACTAAGTACCGTAACCGTACAGTAATCACCTAGGCTGTAGCATAGTACTGAAATTACAGCAAAGCAGTATACATCTCGATTTTTTTGTAACAACTTAGACTCTTCTCCTTGTACATAAACGAAATCTGGAGTCAGTCTTTCTCCTTGTACATACCGTAGTCCTACAGTAATCGCGAATAGTCCGCTGCCTAGAATAGTGTATGAGTCAAGTCAGTCGCAGTCACCCATGTTTACCAATGCTAAATTTTCTTGGAAAGATAAATTAGGAGAAAAGCTTGGCTTCATGCTAATAACATAGAAACACATTTTGTTGCATTGTACCCGCTTACTTTGGGGAGAACAGACCTGGGCATGCCGCTGCGCACATGCCTCGCGACGCGGTCGCCCAGTCTTGTCGGTTGCTTTGTGGTAAAGTTTTCAGGGTGTTGTTAGAGTAAACAAGGTCCGCATTGTCTATCCATGATTGATGTAGGATTACGGTAATCAGTATCTGATATATAAAAAAACGTAAGCGCAATTCAAAAATTTTCAAACAGCGGGAAACCGCGGCGGGTCCCGAAGCGAACGCTTTTCCAAATAGCACCTCCAGAGGTTCACTAGTAATGGTAAAACAGCTCGAACGAAGTAGGTTAGTGTGTCGCTTCATACCCATAAGAAGAAGAAGCTGTAGTCCTCGATCTCGCGCAGTTGTCATTCTAAAGCCGCCAAACCTCCTAAGCTTCTGGTCCTTCTTGTTCTCGCTTCTCACATTCTCTTTTTTCGGAACAAAAAAATGGTCCCATACTTTCTTCTACATACATACACACATCGTGTTGCTCTATTGTTCGTTCGTTCGTTCCGTTCGTCGTCGGTCGCGCATCGATCGGCCATCGTCGCATTGACTGATGCGTGTGTGTGAGTGCGTGATGTGATGTGTGTTGGTCATCAGACGACGAAGCGCGGTGCGCCTTCACAACGCCTTCTGGATGCCAAGAGAATGGCCGCCCAGGTGATGCCAGATTCCTATCCGACATACGACTCGTTCCGCACCGATCAGGTATGGTATCTACCCTTGTATGGGTAGACTTAAGTGATGTGTCATGATTTGTCGAAAGGACGAGTAATGTTGCTATAGGTGGGTCGTGACACGATCTGATTACGGTAGCCCATGCGTGACACCTTCACTGCGCTCAGAGACTGCGCTATTAGTTGAGCCTTAATCCAAACGATTAGACAAGGCATACCTTACATGGGTAGCTTTTTGGGTTGAGGAATTTAGTGGATGGGAAGTGATACCACTCTCTTGCGCCGCCTTTGCGGACTACTGCTCCGCACACAATATGCAATAGCATGCAGGAAAGGACTAGTAGTCCTTTCCTGCATGCTATTGCGGAGGCTGCGAATAATGGCGGTATCCGTTGCCTCACCGACTTTAGTGAACGTCAGACTTTGTCCAGTGGGCGAGAGAAAAGTTGCAATTGGTGGGTCCCGGTGCGATGTGGCTACGGTAGCTCATCCGTAACTTCCCCATTGCCTCTAGGTGAAGCGGCTGTAATCCATCGTAGTCCAAGCCACTTCTAGAACTGTTGAGGCTTCGGAAGTTTTCGAGATCCCCGTAAAAGGACGGGTTTTCAAAAATGAAATTCTAACCTTGGATTCTTGCCTTCACATCTGGAAAACAATAGCCTATAATTACTCGAATCAATGTTTCTTGGTTTGCTGCAAAAATAAAATAAAATCTGTATACGATGTCAACAAATTTACTATGCCTTCATCAGTCTCGCTACTACACGCGACCGCACCTCATCAGTGGGGCGCAGCTCAGAATGCCTGCGTTGGTGAATGGGCTTTGCAACTTTTACTCATTAGGAGAATTTCTTTGCAACATGATCGCTATTTTTGCAAAAGATGTGCAAGCTTTCAAAGCTCTGGACTTTGTACTTATCATAGTTGAAAAGTTCGAAATAGCAGACATTCCAAATGTGAGAAATTAGTTTCCTGGGCAAAAGGTCATGACATTATCATAGTTGAAAATTCTTTTCATTACCGTCAGCTTTAATCACTATCTGCGAAGAGTGCGTCAGCATAGGTACCGATTATAGCTTGCAATTTCCCTTCTAACTCTTGGTTTCTGGTCAAACGCTGCTTTCGAGCTACAATTAGCCTATTCAGTGGCGTTGAAAATAGCAAAGCTTCCGCAGGGGTAGGCGTCGATAGGGGAGGGCAGGGAAAAGAATTAAATTTTATGGAGCCGATGAAGGTGAGTGTTTGGCTAGCAATATGTTTTATATGGCTTGGTTGAGCTTAGAAAACAACAAAGTCATTTATCTTGCCAAATGCGTGATAGAGCGGGGTGTGCGAGCGAGTAGGGGACCAGTTCTCGTCTGCCCCAAATAATCCCAAAAATACTTTAGGGTCTTCCCATCTCCAATGGCAGCTCGATCTCGACTCTGGACATATCCGGAGGTACGCAACAAGCGCCGAATAGCGTGTTGCGAGTGATCATCGAGAATATGATCTACCCGGTCACATTAGATGTGTTGCATACGGTAAGTATACTGTATCCGCTTTTACTTACTCTTAGATGCTTACTTCTTACTGAGTTTCGCTAGCCAGATGTTGTTCAATACTGACTGACACACACATTTATACGCACACTCAAGCATGTATTTGCGAAACGCAGTGGCGCGAGATTTGAATAAGCGTTTCTTGTTTTGGAAGTCAAACAATAAGTCATCCAGGATAGTTTAACATGGAGAACTACCTTTTTACTGGGAGATCTCCGTTTTTCTGGAAAAATTTTGTAATTAGAAACTTGTCATTTACACGAACAAAGTAATATCACAAAATCTAAGTTTTTGTCGTTTGGCACAGATGAAAATGACGAAAAATTAATTTCCTAGCAGACATAAGATTTTTATGAATTTGGCATACTAATTAGCTTCAAACATCGTCAGACTCGAAGGTTAGGCATTCTTGAATTTTGTGAGAAACTGGAGATAGGGAGGGAGATCTAATTAAACTGTTTCCTGAGCTTGCTGTAGAATTTCTGGGTCATAAATGCATAAATGTCATTTGAGCTGCCCTGACATTTATGCATTTTGGACTCAAAAATTCTACAGCAAGCTCTCGCCCAGTACCGTACTCGAGGTGCTGAGCTCGGGAGGTGTACGGTACTGGGCGAAAATGTAGTGTTGCAATTTTCGACTACCGATAAAGAAAACTGGTTGCGTGGACAGTGGCTTTTGCCTGAAAATTTTTTGAAGCCTAAGCAACTGAACTTGTAAATTTTTTGAATCTTCATCTCAGGCGTTCCCCTTTTTTGAAAAATTACTGAAAGTGATAGAGAATATAATTTTTGAAGTCAAGGAAGGCTTAAAAAATGGCAAAGTGATAAAGAATATAATTTTCGAAGTCAAGAGAGGCTTAACACATGGCAGTGTCTCAAAATTTTTTTACAATTAAGGTGTTTCAAAATTTTTATAAATTTTCTGCCTATGATCTTAGCGATGTGATGAGTTTTCTCTCAGATATGTAGCTTCTGAATGCTATCATTCGGTTGTTTAGTCTATTCTTCTACCTTCAGTTGTTTCTTGCCAGTGTTTTAGTAGTAGTCGAAACTAAAAATTAAACAGACTGAAGATAAATATGCTCAGTTTCCAATTCAATAATTTTTGATAAAATTTGTAAAAACCTGGATGACTTACAAAAATAGAGTAAAAATCGCAATGCGTATGCGTTAGCGCAAAGAGCTATAACTGCGCGCCTTTCAAACTTTCACCTACCTATTTGTACCGTCTGATTTTCTCTGCTCTGTTCACCACCCCTTTCCTATTCTAGCTCTTCTCTCGCTATGGCAAAGTGCTGAGGATCATAACATTCAACAAGAATAGTGAGTCACTTCCGGTCCTTTCCTACTATTCTCACTTTTATTTCTACTTTATTTTCCGCCATATTTCATTTCATTTCTATGTTTTCTACGCGGGCTTTGTGTTTATAATTTCGATAATGCAGAGGCCTATTAACGGTGTGTGGCTGCTTTGACACCCCGTGTTAGACGTACCCGGGTAGAATCACCCGGGTAGTTGTGAATGGCCCCGTGATTGCTATTTCACTTGCAGACACGTTTCAAGCACTGGTGCAGATCAGCGAAGCGAATGCCGCTCAGTTGGCCAAGCAAAACCTCGAAAACCAAAACGTTTACAACGGGTAAGTGCCGTAGACGATACGGTAGGGTACTGTAAGACGTCGAATCAATTGCAGGTGCTGTACGTTGCGTATCGACTACAGCAAACTAAGCACACTCAATGTGAAGTACAACAACGACAAAAGTCGGGATTATACTAATCCCAACTTGCCCTCAGGAGAAATCAGCCTTGAACAGCAACTCGGTCTCGGTACGCTTTCGGGCCTTTCTTCTTGAACAAAAATTTTTTTTAACATATACCGTATGCTACCGTAATCAATTGTTGGAAGGAATCTAGGGAAGCTAAGAAGGGAGTGCTGTTGCATGCAACAGCACTGCGGCAAGCGTACTCATCCTATTGCAACATGCGCAGAAAATTGCCTATCTTCAACTCGTAAAACCATCAAAACATGGAAATTTGAAACTTTGCCTCACTACTCTGTTTTTCTTATAACCATCTAGAATTCTCGAAGCAGTGATTATAAGCCCGGCTAATCCAAATTATACCGTTTCTATAATACCTATAATTTGAAGTTTCTTTGCCTTTGTAGCGCTTGCTGAGTTTTCAAACAAGTAACTTAATGATAGCTTGTATGTTTTATGTTTGACTGCCCGTTATTGCGCATGACTTCAACCAATCTCTAGTTGAAGGGTAGTCGAGAGGACGGGAGTAGGAGAGTGCGCCACTGTATACGTTTTCTACACCTTTACAGTATGCCACCGTAACCACATGTGTATGAGTTGCGGCTTTGTCTACGACTTAGCTTAATATCACTTCGTAATTTTCTTTTTGAGGGGTGGGTGGGGGGGGGGGGGGAGGGAGCGAGTGGCATTACTGTATTATACGGTATATGTGTAAAAGCGCCTGTACTCAAATATCGGGCTTCCTGCTTGAGCAACCAACGACGGTCCGAAAATTGCCTTCACATTACACTTCGCGCCAGGGGCTCCAAACAATTTGATCCGAATCTCAGCAATTTCAGGAATTCCTGGCTTGCAATCATTGCTGCCGACGGCATCTCCATATTCATTCGCTTTCGGTGCCAATCCTGCTACGACATTTATACCTCCAACCTTAGGCGCAGGTCGGTCATATTCCCTTTACCGTATCCTATACATCCACTTCGTACTTCAGCAGAAACGGTTTTTTTATTCAGATGCGACAGCTTTATCGCAATACTTGCCGTCCTTAGGTGCGTTAAGTGGTGCAGTTGGTGGCCTCACACCCTCATCGCTTACCTCGCTACGATTCCCTGTGAATATTCTTAGCATCACATCGGTCGTTCTTGTATCAAATTTAGATGAAAATGTAAGTACTACAGTACAACTGACATGCTATCAAATATAAGAATTTCTTTTCAGAAAGTGTCGCCGGACGCTCTGTTCACTTTATTTGGTGAGTGTTCTCGACCTTTAAAGTTCTTTCTTGTACAATGCGAACATTTCTTTTTGTACTTAGAAATGATGTCAAGAGGAACACTTGCGTTTTTTGTAAAGTAAAAACTTGAGTGCTCTTTTTGAATATATTTCGACATACATCATACACAATGCAGCTTCTTTTGCGTCCTTTAATAGGCCACTTTAGGCGTTTACGGCGACGTAGTACGTGTGAAGATTCTATACAACAAAAAGGATAATGCCTTGATACAGTATTCGGAACCGCAACAAGCACAACTTGGTGAGTAAGCTCAAAACTTGAAATTCTTTGGTTAATCAACATGAAATATGATCAGTTGCCTACTAAGTAATTGTAAGCAAATTGACACCTAAGAATGGGTTTTCTGGATAAAGTTACCACAAAAACTAATGAGGTTCAAACCAGAACCATATATATATAATATTTTCCACTGATTTCGAAATGAATGAGTAAGGATTACACGACCTTCAACCGCATGTTTGCTAACCCCTGCTTGAATAGGTAAGGAGCACGGTAGAGCTGCGTAGAATTGCTTGCAACAACAAAGACGGCATAATGTTCAGAAATGCTTACAGTAAATACGGTGCCTGAGTTGCTTGCAACACTAATCACGATAGACTGCCTACCTTAGAGCTGCTTGCAACAGTACCTTAGGCTGCCAAGAGTTGCTTCCAACGGTAAATACGGTAGGCTGCCTAGAATCGCTTGCAACAATAGATACTCTAGGCTACCTGGCATCGCTTGCAACAATAAGAAGGGTAGCTGCCTGAGTTGCTTGCAACAGTAACTACGGTAAGCTGCCTAGAATTTCCTGTAACAATAATTACTGTAGGCTGCCTAGACTTGCTTGCAACAGTAAACACAGTGGCCTGTCAAGAGTTGCTTGCAACACTAAAGACTGTAGACTGTTGATTCTTTTCTCGATCGAAGCACCATTTTCTTTATTACTGAAATGCCCATGAAGCGAACTAGAGAAATTAAGTGAAATTGTCACATTACACTATGAGCAAAACGGTGTTTTCTTAACATTGATTCTGCATAGAGCCTAACATTGTGCCTTCGCAGTTGTAACTTCAAAATCTGAATATCTATATCCAGCCGCAAGATAAATTTCATGTATCAAATTTACAGTTGCGTACGATCAAAGTGAGATAACTTATGCTCTCAGAACAATCGATTTGCTTGTATGCCCGGGAATGATCGTAAACTTTCCCATCCAAGCCAATAATAGCTTCCATTCACATGCATTTTTCATAGAAATGAAATGTTACTATATGTAAAAAGGCAAAGCAAGGGGGGAGGGGGAGGGAATAGATCGAAATCGATCAAGGGGATCTTCCCTTTGCATGGCAATGGGTCCGTGCGAACCAGCAGCTGCACATTCCTGGCGGTCTTTTGACGTCTCCATGGATTCTCACTATTGGCAGCCTCTCCGCCGTTACCATATCTTCGTTTTGGAAACAGCTCTTTGTTCTTCCAAGTATGACTTTCAACTTTACCCTTTCTATAGGTGTAGGGTAATGGGGTTGGGGGAGGAGGGGGGGGGGGGAATGCATAAAGATTATAATTCTTGGTTACTACATACCTTTATGCTGCAAAATTTTTTGCTACTATTTATAGAGTTGCAAGAAATTCTATTACTGTGAATATCAGAGAGAAAACAGATAAAGGTTTTGAGCGTTGTTATATTTTCAGCCATGCAACATCTGGATAAAATACGTTGGCATGACCGAGTGATAAGGGTAGCCCCATCAAAGCATAACAATGTACAGCTGCCCAAAGAAGGTATGTCAGATTTTGAACTTTTGACTTATCACAGAAGATTAGCGTAATCTAAAGTGCTCGGGGAGCTGACAACACTCATTGACAATTTTAATTCAGGCCAACCAGACGCGGGTCTAACAAGGGATTATTCCCACTCCCCTCTGCATCGTTTCAAGAAACCAGGAAGCAAGAATTACATGAACATCTATCCGCCTAGTTGCACCTTGCACCTGTCAAATATTCCACCAAATATCTCCGAAGAGACCCTGACTGAGGCTTTCGAGCAGAACGGTTTCCAAGTGAAGGCATTCAAATTCTTCCCGTATGTTCAACAATTATTTTTCGACGCTAAGTTAAATTACCGTATCCTTTTTTCCAGGAAAGACCACAAGATGGCTTTATGCCAACTCGAAGATGTGGAGACGGCGATTGATGCACTTATTGCTATGCACAACCACAAACTCGCTGAAAATGCGCATTTGCGGGTCTCATTCTCCAAATCCGGAATCTAGTCGGGCTTAGCAATTATGAAGAGCCATGTTAGTCCATTTTTAAGCAAGCCAACCCCAAGCATATCTGTTTTTTGAAGCCCGTTCACCCGTTGACCAAAGGTTCGTGAAATGGGAGATCTAGGAGCGTGTAGAGATTCGGTGCTACTATAATGTTGATCACACACGGTTTGACCTACAGAAGCAAAAAACAACGACAAATGGGGTATAACCCCGCCTTATGCGGAAATACCGTAATCTAACCGTAACCTGACCGTAACCCCATCATCATCATATGTTGCTCTTTCGCGCCTCCGCGCCTATGTGTTGCAAACGAATTTTATTTTGTATTTTGAGACGAGTATGAGCGGATCGTGTTATGCCATAAATTTATTAACAAATCACACAAAACAACACACACACATATCCTGTGATACCCTCCACATCTCTATTTTATTATATATGTACATGACTGTAACTCTACCATCTCTCTCACTCTAAACTAGCTGCTCCTACAACTCTTCTACATGCACGCTACTGCTTCTGCTCTCTACTATACTGCATACTGTACCGTCTTCTACGCTCTCCTGTCTACTCTTTTACTTGTTGACTCCCAGTTATCGCTATATTTGATTTAGTTAAACTTTTATTGAAGAGCGAGCAAGAATGGTTACTGTAAAAGGCAGCGACGCCCGAGAACAGTCGCATGATAGATTTGCATCAATAATCAAAATATATGGCCAATCATAAACATGCATTACGGTATCTGCAAAAATATTCATGGAAAAATTTCAAGACAGCTGATTTTATGCCTATTCGGTTTTAAAGCCATATATAGCTTTTTTGCTGCTGCGCATATGATTGTACTATAGAAAGGACTGTCATCTGTTTGATTACATCAATTGCAGAAACCGCGCTAATCACATTTTGGGTTCATTTGGCCGAATGCTATTGAGGGATCCAGTCGTTAACTGCTGTAGAAAGTGCACTACATATGCGTGACTGTTGTAACGACCCGTATACTGATACTGTAGGGCTACGGTAGTGCCTAGAATTGCTTGCTGTTGCAAAAACGGTTGGCTGTCCGGAGTTGTATGCAGCTCTATTTTAAGGTTGTTTGCAGCACTAAACTGAGTTGCTTGCAACACAGAATTACAGCCGCTGGCAATATACACTGGAATTGCTGCAGCACAGCAGTAAAGTTGCTTGCAACATTAGGCTAGGATTGCTGCAACACCATGCTAAAGTTGCTGCAACATCAGGCTAATCTTGCTGCAACGTACATTGCAGTTGCTTGAAACTTAAATTAGATCGCTTGCAACACTAAAGACCTAAGCTGGCTAAAGTTGCTTGCAACACTAAAGGCGAAAGGGAGCTTAAGGTTGCTAGCAACAATAACACTGTAATCCTGCGCTCTATCATATTCATGTATTCAAAAAATATAAACCTGCACTTGATTCGGAGATTTTATGCAGCTCTTATCTAGACTACGGTATAACTACGGTAGCAGCTATAGTGCAAAAGCAGTTTTGTGCCAATTTACAAGCCATAAAATATTGCAAATCGCAAATTTTCATGCCACATGACAGAATTTATACATGGGACAATATGCGTTGTATGTTTCAAACTACAGTAACCGCTCTTTATCGTTCTCCTTTATCCATTTTTATGTCATTCTCATTAGTGCTCGAGTCGTGTCGTATCTAGTATTATCTGTGTATGTAGTCGTCATAATATATTGTATTTATCAAACGCATTTCTTCAAATTCCGAGAATGCATACATATCTTGCGTTGGCACTAGTCAGCTCCACTCCCGTACCGTGAGCTGACATGGCCCTCAAAACTCCTAATAGCCGTATTATTATTATATGTTTCGTATGCGTTATCTATTTTTTTTCTATTGTCAATTATCGTCGTCGTGTTTCACTCGAGCTTTACCAACACAAGCACTTTCTCTTTACTTTCCACTTTCTCCTGTCTCTTTATTCTATCTTTATCTCTTCTGGCATATCACTCACATATCGTTCGCATATCAGAGAGCGTTTGTGGGGTTGTTTCCGACATAATCACTATATTTCCTAGCTATTACTATTTCCTTTTCGGTGATCCTTTACTATGGAAGCTTTCTTTACATCACGTGCATTTCAATGGATTCGTTAGTCATTTTTGGAATATGATAATTTTTTCTTTAGTTTATTCTTCTTTTTGTTTTATCCACTCGCTATCTTCTTCTTTTCCAATGCACAAGCATTTTCTTTTATAAGAAGATGTTGTCTTGATTTGAGAAGATGTTCAGGTTATTATTTTTGTATTGTAATTATTATGAAGTATAGATTTATTGCTGTGATATAAATATGTGAGGTGTACATTTGTGCAAAGAAAAAATAAGTATTTCAAGCTGATGGCTGAGCACTCGGCAGGTTCAATTTTCGTCGAAGGTAACGTACTTTTGACTTAACGACATCCCAAGCGAAATAGCAACCAGTCAGAGTTCGATTTCCGTCGGGTGCGTTGCGATATGCGTCTCGCGTATGGAGTAGACGAGTATTTGCCCAGAGTACGGTATCTCCTGGAAAGTAAAGGTCCAATTAGGTGACAACTTGATTGATGCTTTTACAAGGAAGAATGATATTGCATTTTTTTGAAAATTTTGGGTAAAGGCTAGAAAGGGAGATGCAGAACATGTCTTCCACGGGGATTGCAGATAAACCAAAAGTAAAAGGATAAAGTCGTCAAAATAACAGAGAAATCACAACATCGAAAGCTCTATCTGTAGTGAATTTATTTTGCACTCGTCCAAGCGTTATTTCGGACCCTCCCTGTTTGAGTCGAAATTTGATCATTCAGATTCTTTGTGGGGGAGATCTGCCAGTTGGAGAAAAAGCGTTAAATAAATGCCTATTTTGTCAATTTCACTTTTAAAAATTCACGAGGAATTTTAAGCAACTCGATTACTTTGGGCAGAGCTTCATAAGGTTCATATGAGAAAGCTTCTAACAACATTGCGATTATTGGCATACTGCAAGTCCTTGATTGAAGAAGAAATCGATTTAAAAGGAGACATGGTACACAACTAAAATGGTGAAACTTACTAGACCTTTTTATATTTTCAACGAAACAGTACGTTGGATGAATTTGACGATGAAGGAAGTTCTAAAGCGCTATAATATCAAATTGCAGCTTTACAGAGGTTTCGAAACCTTTGGATAAAAGTCGGAAAAAGAAAATGGCAAATGCAATATAGCAGTTGTAAAGATAATTATAGGAGCAAAAAGGAGAAGAATATTGGGGGTAACAAGTCGAGTGTCTCAAACTCTGATTTCGCTAAAGGCGGGATAGAAAGGCGACATTCGTATCACTTGCGTTTGGAAAACTTCTGTATATGAATGACTAGCGAAAAATAGATAGAAATGTCCGATTTTTTGGGATGGTAATGAAAAAAACAGATAGTCATCGGAGATCTTCAAGGTATCCCTTAAAGTGGTATATCTATTCGGAACTAAAGATCATGAGCTGTTCTTAATCGAAAAATCGATAGATAGCAAACAGGAAATCGAGCACTTACCATTTTCCAAAGGCAATTTGAGCACATTTTCATCTTTGTAGCAATAATCCGTAAACGTCTTCAAGGCTCTAAAGATTCATGAATTCAAGGGCTGTCTTTCTCCGTAGAGATAAACAATAAACGGATACCTGTATATATCTTGGATCTTTTCTGGATCGCAATCATAGAACCAACTTCTCATAGCATTACCAAACTGAATCTTGATCACTTTACCGTGCTCATCTAGTCTGAAGTATAAACGAGATTTTAGGCGGGAGAGTGCATTTGGGACTGAAAAGCTGACTTTATGGTTCGATGACGTGCACTCATATTGTAATCAAATCGTTTGGGATTGCCATTGGGGCCTTCGTGAACGTCATAACCTTCTTCGATAAATTCTAATGAATATTTGGTGAGAATGTCAAAAACATCTGGCCTCTCTTTGCGTATCTAAAACTAATTTTGCTGGAAGAAAAATCGTATACACCCATAAAAAATGCGAAAATCTTTGCTTTTTTCTCTGTACAGTTCTTTTCGTCAAATATTTAATTTTCTGAATAGGCATCTACCTGTTCTGCGACTTGAAAACCGTCAACAAAGAAGTTGTTCCCGCCCTCTTCGGCTTTTCGGACCATGTGAAGCATTTGTAGCTGAAATTTCAAGGATTTTACAATTTTTTACCTTCAAAAATGAGCGTAAAACCAAACTCGGGTACTCGAGCTGCTTATGTAAAAAATATTGGTTGGTCTTAAATAATGGAACGCTCTCTGTGGAACTTATTTGTGGCCAAAAAATCAACTGTAAGCGAACGGGTCAATTTCCGAGTACGGTATAGTGTACGGTCTGGGTGAGAGTTTGGCACTAAATTTTCCCGCCACGAATAAATCATAGAAGCAGATGCTTGGATAACGAGTCAGTTCAAACCTTCTAAACAGAATCCTGAGAAGCCCAGATTTCTCAGATTTGTCTTGGCACTACCTATGGCCCTCGTCCTTACCTCTGGCGGATGTGCAAGTGAAGGAAAATCGGTGTGGAATGGAAGGAGTCCACTGGATGCGTAGGCTTTGTTGCTGGCGTCTGCTTTAGTTGTGACTTCGAAAACTTTTCTGAATTTTTCAAAATATCTCGAATCCTGAGAGGACTTCATTTCTGCGTTTTTTTACCCAAAATGTGTGCTCTGTATCAATCCAATCCTCTCGCCTATATCTGGAACTGCTGCTCTGGTATTTGTGGGACCGTTTTTTATCAAAGCAATTCCATCTAGGCACACGGCTTCCAGGAAATCATGAAGGGTCTAAATGACCAGATAAGAACCAAAAAGGTTGCGCGAAATGTTGAAATCTACCTTATCATCGTTCATCACAGCATTATGGTCAAATTTCTTGAGCTTTCTTTCGATTTCCGCCTTACCCCAAGTGCTATCGGGAAACAAGTAAACAGATCTTCTGCGATTTGCCATTTCCTCATCGGAGGGATTGCGAAGTCGCAGCCAGTCGGAGTCGAACCTTTATAAAATTTGTTTTTGTAATTCTACATAATTCTTATGAAAAATCTTAAAACTACCTTGATTGAGTGTCTTTCCAGTCGATTACAAGTTGCTCATTTTCCAGACGTACTGACTTTGGCGACTGTTCAACGTCAAACTCGTTCATCGTAAGATTACTAAAAAGAATTTTTTTAGTTTTGGAGTTTCTGAAATTTCATCCGCTTCTTGATTAAACTTTGGATCAAAACATAATTTTGATGAAACCGACTGGCTCTCACAGATCTTTTGAGGCTTGATCATTAAAGAAGCTGCATTCTGAGTCTCGATTGTGTTAATTTCCCTTTTTATTGGTTTTTTCTTCCGATCTCAGGTAAGAGATTATGACATGGAAAGGCTAGCTTAGCTGTTAAGAAACTCTTGTTAAAGGCAGTGTACACCCAACATTTCGCCTTCGTTGTTTGTGTCATTCTGGGCCTTTCCGTGCTCCTGATTACAGTTATGACACTAAAATCCTCCAAAAGTCCCAAAAAACCGCAATTCCCGAGGACCCTCTCTTCAGGGGCGGAGGAGTTTCGAACTGCTCGTCCCCGTCGGCATGCCAGCAGCTGCAACAGCATGACAGCCTGCAATTGCAACTGCAACTGCTGCATATGCTGTCGTGGTTCGTCGCCCGAAGGAGGCGCACCGCAAAAAGCAATTGCACTGTTGCAACTGCAGTTGCAGTTGCAACAGCATTGCAACAACAACTGCAACGGCAACTGCAGTTTACGCTGACGTGGATTTCGTCCGAAGGAGGCGGAATGAAAGAAAAGGGGCGGAGTGAAAGAAAAATCAGGCGGATTTTCTCCGCTCAGAAGCAACATTGGGAGACCGGACCAACGCTGTTGGTCTTCTTCTGGGCCCTAGATATTCTAAGTTACCCAATTCTTTACACACGGTATAAAGAATTGGGTAACTTAGATTTTGGTGTACGCTGCCTTTAAGCAACTCAAAGGGGGATGCTAATGAGCATATCGAAAGATACTTCAGAAAATTTTTTATGCATTGTAGTCTTCAGTAGTGACAAAGTCTGGCAAAAACTCAAGGCTTGCGCGGCACAATCCGCAAAAATAAAGATTCTAGTTGCCTCCATAAATATTCACAGACTAAGCTAAACGATGAGAGAATGCAAATGAATGAACTGATTTTGAGGATGTAATACTGCAATATTCTTGCCATCGATATCGAGGAGAGTTTTAGCTTCACTCCTCGCCACTATTTGTTCTCTACCCAACCAAAATAGTACAGTGAGACCCTTGAGATGGTCCGCGAATTTCTTGGATGACTTACAGGAGTTATGAAGATGTGCAAAATGAAGATAATATGGAAAAAAATTAAAACTCAAAGGGCAAGCCTGCCGCCCTTTTTTTCTTTCTGCCCCCCCCCAAATTATTACTCGGACCCTCACTGATGTATACTTTTCATAGTTGATTGATAAATAGATTGATTACCGGGCAGTCATAGCTGGTCCAATAGAATATGTAACAGGATCCGGAGAACAATCTCTTAACCAGATCAGAGGAAACTTTCCTTTCATCCCTGGAAATCATATTCAAGTTCAAAACAAAATTCATATCATGTAAACGCTGAATCTTCAACAAGAAATCTTTGTACCTGACATTAAGATAAGTTGTGAAAAAGGTAAGTACGGTGCTTTAGTACATTTAAGTGCAAAGATAAGTTCAGAAAATAGTGCACATGACCTACCATCTGTCCATTCCACTGTTATGATACGATTTATAGGTTGAGAAATGGAAGCGATTTTCGCTACTTTCGTTAGTAGCCTGAAAAAGTAGAAACAACATAGTAAAAATGGATAAAAGAGTCCCTCAGCACCCTTTACTTTACGCAGAAGTTTGAACTCTTAGAGAAATTCGTAAATTAAGCGAACTTACTTTGCTTGAGATCTTGCAAACATCAGAGAGGCCGTCTTGTTGAATAGCTGAAAAAGTGACGAATGAGACCGAAAAAAAAGAGTAAATGACCTGAATAGATAGGAACGATCGAAGGAGACAAAAGGAAAGCACCAGAGATGAACTGTCGAAAGTGACCTTAGGGTGGTACACACACACCTGGGTGGAGGCTGAGTTGCCGATAACAGAGATCAAAGTCCTTTTGGCAATGTTCGGCGGAAGTCAGTCGCAAGGCACATTTTGGTTCCTTGCTTAGGCCAAAGTTCCGCTCAGTTGATGACGCACATGTCAACTTTATTAGAAATCTGGAAAGATGATACCTCTCTCCCGTGCTAGGAGACTTTCTGAATCTGAAGAATCGTACTCTTACAGTATATTCTCGTGGCGCTGATTTCACCATTAAGGCCTTTTGGCATTTGTGCATTTAGTGGATTATGTAGGGTCCATTCATGTCACCTTCAGTGTTCTCAAAGAGGAAGGATCGATGAAGGTGACATCAAAAATGGTTAGAGAGCACGAGCGAGAGAGAGACGTCGACTGCGTCGCGGACGCGAGCGGCCTTGATTAGGTAGCAAAGCCCCACCTTCCAGACGCCAATCCAGTTGAATCAAAGGGTATACCTGCTGCTTTTTTGAACTTTTTGCCTCTTTGTATGTATAGCGCTATAATAAAATACAGTAAAAAATCCGGTCGTAAGAGGAAGTAGTGAAAAATCGCAATTTCCACATTGGTTATCCCCCGTGCAGTTCGATTTTCCATCCATTTTCCAATGTCATAAACTCGATGACAATTTTTTCGAATACCATATGACATTATTGGTTGTATCGAACCACCTTTATTGAGATATACTTTGCTGCTATATGTCATGTACGCAATCTTTCGAGAGAGGATAAATGACAACAAAAAGTGAAATGTTTAGGGTCAACAGCGATAATCTCGAAATCTTTACGTACTTTGATGCAGATACTGCCTATACTGCACAACAAATCGCAGTTGGCAGAATACCTGCGTTTGAACAAAGCATTTTCGATTGAAGTCCATCCACCCCTTCTTTTATCGGAACTCTGACGCTCTTGGGAATCTCTACATACAGAAGACATTTTTTGTTTTTGCAATAGTGATTATCTCGACTGACTTGAATTTTCATTCGCACTTTCTCGTAGTCTCACTCAATGTGGAATTTGAAAGCACTTTTTGCCGTAGTAGACTGCGTAGATTCACAGAATCTTTTGTCTTTTTTGCTATAGTAGGTTGATGTTGACCGCCAATTAAACTTTATATCTAACTCACTGTTGTCAAATAGTCCTATGCATTTGCAAAATTATCGTTCTGAGCTGACATATACCTGAAAAATCTGTAATTAAAGTTTCCTTCATTTCCGTAAAAGGTTGATGGCTGTAAATTAGGCTTCAAAACAATCACCAACTAGTGTACAAAATAGAAAAAAACAATGATCAGAGAGAAAACAGCAAAATGCGAAGAATCCCGCGGTTTTCGTAATGCACAGGGCAGCAAATTGTAGGAAAAAGGAAAAGTCTAGGATTGCTTGTGTTCTAGTTAGGACTTGAAGGCATGAATTTGAACCTAGTTGTGCAGCTTCCATATTTTTATAAGATGGCCCTTTTCATGGTCCTGCCTCCGACTATGAAGTGCAAAATATGTGGATCCCTAGAAATCCCTTGAAAACCTTATGGCAAGCGTGGACCACTGGTCCGACCAATACCGTCATATGCAATTCGAAATCCGTTCACATGCAACAAAAGGTCCTGTAGTATGCAACAGGAAGTCGCGTCGTGTGCAACAGACAGTAGCTGCATGCAACAAGAAGTTATGGTATTCAACTAATTCCTTCGCATAAAGCTAGAAGTCTTGTCGCATGCAACAGGGGATCTTGCTGCATGCAACTATACAGTATCGAAGCGATGCAAGATTCTTGACCTCTTGTTATATCAGAACATTCCAGCGATAATCCTCAGATAAGCGTGGAATGGTCCAAAAGATGGGCTGTTGTTTGCGCAGGCCCCTCTTCTCATTCCAAGGCAGTATCGAACAACCAAACCAACGCAAGCTTCATACAAGACACTTAGAAACTCCGTAATACCAGAGATCATGGATCTTGGAACGGACGCTGCAGCTAAAGAATAGATCTTATATATAAAGCTGAATGTCTGTCTGTATGTATGTCTGTCTGTCTGTACGTATGTGCTGAATAGAAATTTTTATTTCTGAACCGATTTGGACCAAACTTGGCACACATATACTTCGGGGCAGGGAGCGTGTCATAGTCCACCCCTGTGCAAAATCCCAGCCCCCTAGCTCAAATTTTGCAAAAAATCGATAAAATCGATATTGATCGATAACGAAAAGTAGCCTATGACACGCTCCCTGCCCCGAAGTGTATGTGTGCAAAGTTTGGTCCCGGGCGGAGCCGGGTTTGCCATCTAGTTTATGCATAAAACTCCTGAATTTATGTAAGCATGAAATTCGGTGCCAACTCTGCTGACACAAATTTGGCGCTGTACCAGCGAATTTGGTGAAAGTTCGCCACGCACCTCATCTGCAAAAGTTTGCCTGGTTCCCAATATCCGATTTATGGACCCGCTCACTCAAGCCTAATTTAACCCTATCCGACATTCCCGTAAGCAAGCCATTCTTCGTCAGTTCATTCGTGAAATTCTACGGATGTGTCGGACTACGGAAATTGTGTTCCTTCCATGACTTCTCAAATTGCTATGGCATCTAGGGGTCCATAGTATATATAGAGCAGTTATTTATTGTTTACGATATCTTCCCTGCATTTTCCCACGTAAACGATACCCATCTTGTCCATGTGCCATTCGTGTTGTGCCCTGCTATTGTCAAAACAAAAACAATCACATACAGTGTGGCTCATTTCATTCGCATTATTTTTTATTGAGCCTCTCGACCATGTTAAACCATTTTTTTGGTTTCAGCATGAGTTGATCACTCAAATTGACCCTCATTATTATTAGAAACTGCGACTGACGATAGTGAACATCCAACGTCAATTTCAACCCTAAGTCGTTTTCTGTATGGTAAGTTAAGTGTTCTTTTGAAATGTAAACATTTACCTGGTAAGCTTCGGAAGATTCAAAGACAAAGAGTGAACATGCACAGTTGAAGAAAAGGCGCAGTATGCTAACCTTTGCTCTTGGACTTCAAAGTGATAAGCTCGGCCACCTAGAAGTAAACAAAAAAGACTGCATTTTCGAATACTTTCGAGGACGAATTGCCATGACAGTGGCTTTAGATCTTGGAACGGGTTCGACTCCAAACATCTTGTTCGAGAATTTTGCGGGTCATGTTGGTATGTACACGGTCACGAGATTGCGCTTGAGATATTCGTCTTCCAGCCGTTACCGACCTCGTTGACTTGTGTCTTTCACCCGGCATTCATCAAAACCTTTGGCCTTGTTTACTTCTAGCATTTGCCGTGAAATTCTCCATCTCGAAATTTAACTCTTTTGAGATATTCATCTGATCTGCCTCTGCTCTTCGAAATTGTGTTCGAAATTTTTATTTGCATTTTGATGCAATGTACTGGAAAGGGCTGGAATTCGAGCAGCTATGTAAACCGATTGATATAGCAATATATTCTCTTTTATTCGTCATTCATGTGACTATCTGCTCTTTGTATTCTCTTGTATCCTTCTAGAATAAATGACGTTTCCATAGAAGCTGCTACTCAATGACTAAAGTTTTGCTTCTAAGAACCTACTATCTTTGAATATTTACAAAACTTTTTCAAATCTGATATTGGCAGCATTCAAGAAAATTATGATTTGGAAATACAACAGATAGCATCTGACGTTGCCATCAACTCATTCCAACGCTTCCTACAGTCTTCATAAGCAAATTTCTAGATTTCGCAGCGAGTTTTACTCATTTGTGAGGGGATCACCTGCTAAGATATCCACCTACAACAACACTTCCTCCTAATTCTTAGAAGTCCAACTAACTTAAACGCAGTGAAACGGCAAAATGGACCCTTCTCGGATTTTAGTGTTGATAGGTAGTAGACCCCAAAGTACGCTATAGCCCAAACCCCACCTCCCAATTTATGCGCTGAGTCCTGAAAAATGAGCTTAAAAAGTGCATTAGCCCCTCCCTCAGTGAGTGTACAGTTTTAGAGCGCAGTTTTCAGGATTTAACGCATGATCTGGCAGGTGAGGTTTAGGCTACAATGTACTTGGGGGGGGGGAGGGTCTACCACCTAACTCACCAAAATCCGGAAAGCGTCCATTTTTGCTGATCCACTGCCTTTATGTTGTTTTGTTACTTGCTAGACAAAGATTTTCATGGTAATTTTGCAGCTTATAAAAATATTCTCTGAAAAGCTGGAAAGTACCATGTCGGTACTGCATTTTTGTTTCAAATTTGATTTTATTAACAAATTCAGACAAGATTGAGGTTCTGTTCAACATCATAGTCACTAAAACATTTTGTTTTCAATATTAATGATCTAACTTCAGCTAAGGGTCGAATTTTAGTGTTACTTATGGCGAATTTGAGTGAGGTAACCGACTAGATGAGCATTTGTGGTGTGGAGTTTATGTACCTAAAAATTTATAAGGTTGTTCACTTTTTCTAGTGCATAATTCGTCTGAAGATGCGCTTACATTTTCGAATTATTTAGACCCATAGTTCATCCAGAATAAGAAAAACTTATTTGTCTGCAACTGTAAAAGTCAGTAGCTTTAAAGAAAAAATTACTTATTTAGGTGGTTGAGCGCTTTTGGACGAGATGTTCGCTGACACTTAAAATTTGTATTCGACTTTTATGGACTCGCAGAATTTTTATGAAAAGCTAACTTTGAAAATATGCCACTTAATTTACTTTTTACCTCATGAAAACTGTTTCCGGCCAAGTTTAGCTCGATGCTCCCGCAAAATTTGCATTTTCCAATTCATCACCCCCGCCGCTTCGCCACCCCCACCTCCTCTATACAAATTTTCCTTTGTCCAAATCCATATTGTTACGTTGTACTCTTTTTATGCATACTGAACTTTTGTTCAGCAAAAGCCAGAACGAATCGGTTTAGCTACTCGAAAGCGATAGTCTCGAGTTTTATGAGTGCGGTCACAGGCAGTTTAGCCGTACTTTGCACAGTCTAATTCGGCAGTTAGATTTGGAGAATAAAAATCGGATAAATCTAGTGAACCAGCTGTTCCAAAGTGTTCGCGAGATTATTGATCGTGAAAATTGTTCAATCTGTTCATAGATTTAAAATTGCAATTCATTTCATTACGTTTTCATGCGCGTGTGAGAAGAATCCCAGCCTCGAAAATCGAAGAAATGCTAGCACTTTATCTCATCTTGAATTTATCGACCAGATCACTTATAATTTTATCTTTTATGAACTTGCTTCCTGCTAAATATATCAAATTACTTTATTTATAAAAACGTACCCCTAAAAAATCTATCAAAGACTTTTTTGTGTTCTCAGTTGCCACAGCTGCCGTTTTTCCAAGGCTTAATGACTACAAGCATATAAAAAATCGAGAAACATTCAAAAACGTTTTTCACAGTAGTGCTCGGCAACCGTGTCCGAGCCTCATTGTTTGAGTACCTTTTCTCTTCCCCCCCCCCCCCCACCCCCCGAAAAGAACTTCTAAAACCATCACTGTTTAGCAAACCTTTTCTAGGCCATGAAAAATTTGGATTTTTTCACTAAATGGCTTATCCACAGCATTTTAAAACTCCGGAAGTAGAATCACTTCATTTTCGGAAATTAGAGTTGATTCTTCTCTTGTTGCTTTGTTTGCCCAGTGTTGATGATCTCCCCGATTCTAGAATTTTCGACATACTTTGCATCTACTTTTGTTGCATAGCTTGCATATGCTTTTACGCATGGTTAGCAGCAACCAACAAGAATTCCTAAAAGAGGTAGAGCAAGAATACTATTCCAACACGGAAATCCGGGTCTCATCCGGCAATAGGCAAAAACCTAAGTGATGGTTATAAAAATTAGAGTTCAAGAAAACTAATGTGTGATCTGATAACAGTTGCAGTATAAATT